GTTATCTCAGTGACTGAGCTCGGACCGGTCTGAGCACGTTTTTTCAAGGGTAGTGTAAATGGGGTAATATTGGACCAAAAAAAATATAAGTATATATGTCTGGAGCCATAAAAATGTAAAAAGCTCTATGTGTATTAGCCTATTATCAAAAAGGACTAGGACTTCAATACATAATAAGCATGAATGATTAAATGTTTATCCTGGAGCAAATGTCACATAGTAGCATGAGCTAAGGGGGAGAATTCACCGCACTGTTTAGGTTTTGTTGCACTGATGAAATTATAGCAGGGTTTATAGAGGAATGAATAACTCAAATTTAATGCTTTTTAATGCTCTTAGAAATAATTTTAATGCCACCAACAGGCTGCAGCCATGTCCCGAATTCCTCGTTTTTTAGCCACTTTTGTTGAAATGAGCTTTTTTCCCCCCATTCTGTAGCTTTTTCTCCGACTCAAGCCTCTTTTCTGAACATACAGCTTAGCGATCAACCGGTTCAACGCAAATATATCGCAACATAATATGTCTGACGAAATTGCTTTTGTAAAAAATTTTTTTTTAAATAAAGCATTTTAAATGCCACAATAAACACAGTTAATGAATTTTAATGCCAATTAAGGGCTTAATTTAAAAAATAATAATTTAATGATTTTTAATGACCCGCAGAAACCCTGTATAGGAATCATTCTATATTGAACGTGTTTCTGTTAGTGGAGTTCATCAGGTCATGAAGAACCAAGAAGGAACTGATCTCTATCAGAGCAGTGCTCTCCAACTCCGACATCCCACATCCACATCGCCAGCATTCCCTGCGTTATTTTCATTTTTAGGATTTGGGGGAAAAAAATGCATGCATCAGAGCACTGCCTGTTCAATCTGTGGATGAGTTTCCATCCTTGCAACCAAACTAGCAGCAGTAGTGGAGTTTGGAGATGCAATCCACTTCTTAAATCTAGCTTTGCGCTCCTCTAATTTATCCAGAAGTTCCTCAAACACACTTTTTTTCCTCACTCTAAACCTGTCGATTGGCTGCATATTTATCTGCCTTCCCTGGAAATGCTTTTCCAATTTACTCTCTTTATTTTTGGACAAATTCTCATTACAAATCAAAAAAGCAGGCGATCCTTCCTCACTGACAGGGGTGCAAATATATATTTTTGAGGTGGATGCGAACACATCATCAAACACTGCTAACTGGGACAAGGCATCGTTGCTCATATTTAACAAAAGTATGTTTTTTTTTTTTTAAATAAATGTTTCAAATTTTATTTTTTGGCAAATCGATTTTTACTAACAGCATTTTAGAGACAACGTTCTTTTCACTTCAAGCCCAATACAAAAATTCTTAACACATTGACCAAAAAAATGTTACTGACATCCATGCCGACGAATAGAAATGCTTCTTTGCTCCTCATTCCAGAGGAACGCCCGCCCCCAGAAGTGAAGAGAATGATATCTGTGTAAAGCCGGGCGTACACTGTGAGATTTTTTCAATCTTTCTACGCAGCTACAGTTCAAACTGCGATTTTCTAGTACAGTTTGAGTTCACAACTAAGATGCCTGTTCTAACACTGTGCAGGACAACGCTCTGATGCGATCTACCTGCTCACACTGTACGTATAAAACCACGTGGGACTCAGCTCTGTATGGAAGTAAATCTGTGTCGCTGGGATTTGACTTAAAAATGCCACTGAAATGTAAATGTTG